GCGGTAGTTTGAGCATTCTTTGACATTGCCTTTCTTTGGGATTACAACGAAAACCAACCTTTTCCAGTCCTGTGGCCACTGCTGAGTTTTCCCAATTTGCTGGCACATTGAGTGCATCACTTTCACAGCATCATCTTTTAGGATTTGAAATAGCTCAAGTGAAATTCAATCACCTCCACTAGCTTTGTTCATGGTGATGCTTTCTAAGACCCACTTGACTTCACATTCCAGGATGTCTGGCTCTGGGTGAGTGATCACACCATTGTGATTATCTGGGTCATGAAGATCTTTTTTATACAGTTCTTCTGTGTATTCTTGCCACCTCTTCTTAATATCTTCTGCTTCTGTTAGGTCCATACCATTTCTGTCCTTTATTGTGCCCGTCTTTGCCTGAAATGTTCCCTTGGTATCTCCAATTTTCTTGAAGAGATCTCTAGTCTTTCCCATTCTATTAGTTTCCTCTATTTCTTTGCATTGACCACTGAAGAAGGCTTTCTATCTCTCCTTGCTATTCTTTGGAACTCTGCATTCAAATGAGTATATCTTTCCTTTTCTCCTTTGCCTTTAGCTTCTTAGCTTCTCTTCTTTTCTCAGCTATTTGTAAGGCCTCCTCAGACAACCATTTTGCCTTTTTGCACTTCTTTTGCTTGGGGATGGTCTTGATCACTGCCTCAGGTACAATGTCATGAACCTCCGTCCATCATTCTTTAGGCACTCTGTCTATCGTATCTAAACCCTTGAATCTATCTGTCACTTCTACTGTATAATCATATAATATTTACCTCTAGTCTAAATATTTTTAAGTAGCAGAACTTAACCAAGGCTCTCTACCAGAAATTCAGAGCATACATTATCCTTAATGGTGGAACATAAAAGCATTTCCACTTGTCAACAACCACACAAACACAAACATCTCTAAGCACTGCTAGTATCCAACATTCTGTGCTGGATTGCTAAAGCAATTCTAACTAAACACAACCACATGAAATAGGAATGTTTGTGTGTGCTCAGTCATGTCAAACTCTTCCACGGACTGCAGCCCACCAGGCTCCTCTGCCTGTGGAGTTTTCCAGGCAAGGATACTGGAGTAGGTTACCACTTCCGACACCAGGGGATCTTCCTGACCCAGGGATGGAACCCATGTCTCTTGCACCTCCTGCATTGGCAAGCAAATTCTTCACTACTGTACTATCTGGCAAGTCCTGAAATATGAATACTGGATTAAAAAACAAAGGCTCATTAATTTCAGAAGATGGGATTCTCTTGGATTTCCTAAATCTATACTGACAAACTTTTAAGAGTTCTGCAGTGTCATAGAAGATCACCCTGTAAAAAGCAAATTGCTTTTACCAGGACAGCAATAATCAATCATAAGATACATTAGAAAAAAGACATATTTCACTGTAGCAATGAAAATAAAATCCCCAGAATTAAATCTTTCAAAAAATGTATAATTATATAAAGAAATCTTATTAAATTAAGAGAATACCACTCCTGGTTTAATGAAAATACAGATTGTTTTCAAGTGAAAGTTGCTCAGTCGTGTCTGACTCTTTGTGACCCCATGGACTATACAATCCATGTAATTCTCCAGGTCAGAATACTGGAGTAGGTAGACTTTCCCTTCTCCAGGGGATCTTCCCAACCCAGAGATCGAACCCAGATCTCCCGCATTGCAGGCGGATTCTTTACCAGTTGAGCCACAATGGAAGCCCACGAATAAGTGGACCACACAGTTCAAACCTGTGTTTTTTAAGGGCCAACTCTGCAACAGTAGAGAAATAGTAGAGAAATACTATTGCAGGGTTGACCCTTAAACAACACAACGGAGGTTTGAACTGTGTGGTCCACTTATACATTTTTTCCCCAAGTATGTACAATCTGTAGTTAGTTGAGTTCAGATCATATAGTACAGATGCAGAACCACGGATATGGAGGAACCGCAAGTATGGAGAGCCAACCATAAATTATACTCAGATTTGACTGCATGAAAGGTGGCACCCCTAACTTCCTGCTTAGGGTCAACTGTAATTCTCTTCAAATCAGTACTATAAATGTACTGTGACTAAAATCAAAACCTCAAAAATATGCTCACCAACAGCCAAGAGACTTCTGAAAAACATTAGGAATGTATCACTCCCACCATTTCTGAAAACATACCAGAAAACTATAATTTAAACAATGCATTATTTATTAGGAAAATTAAATGCCTTAATTAGAGAATTTAACACATAATAAAACAGCACCCCAAACCAGGAAGAATGGATTTCAACAAATAGTTTTTGGACTTTTGAATAAAAGTAGCTCTGTACCTTGCACTCTTCACAGAAATTAATTCCAAATGGAGATCTGGATGCATACATAATTAACTTAGAAGAAAATACAGACATGCTCTATCTATATTTTGAAATAAAAGTCATAAAAATATTTATCAATTTAACTATATATAAATATAAAACATCTGTTTAAAAAAGATACCAAAAGTAAAACTAAAAGACAACTGACCAGCTGGGAGAAAACAATGAAACAGATGTAAAAGAGTAATATCTATATGCAAACTACATGAAAAACTCCTAACTAATCCACGAGATAAAAAGACAAATCATTCACAGAAAAATGAACAGTGTTGGCAAAAGGCAATTTACATGTCAAAAGCAAATATATGAAAAGATGTCCATCAATATTTGAAAAGATGTCCATCTTTACCTTTACCTACTAGTAAAGGTTTTTCCTAAATAATAAAGATGACAATTTTTCACCTATAAATTAAAAAAAAATTAATAAAAAATCAAATGTACTTAATTATATGGAGATCAGGTACTCATTCACTGTTGAGGAGAAACTTTAAACAGCTAACAGCCATTTTGGAAGCCAAATGAAGTATCTCTTTAAAACTGCCTAACTCTGGCTCAGCAAGTCAAAGCTTAAGCATACAATAGAGAAATCCTTATATGCCCATACAGTCATACAGGATGATACTCTTAGCATTGTTTGAAAATAGAAAAAAAAGCAGTAAACTACCCTAGTGTCCATTACAGGCTAAGTAGGTTGTGGAACACTATACAAAAATCAACAGGTAAGATTAGGTGTGATTATACTCAAAGAGACCACATAGAAAAGTTGCAGAATGATATACATAAATCTATGTAAAAACTGAAGCTATACATTTCTTGTAGCAATTACATATATATACATTCACAGAAAACATGGAAGTGACTAAATGGAAAGTTAACAATTGTTACTTCTAGGGAAGGTATTGGGATTGAATGTTAATCAAAAATAGATTGATGTTTTTACAAGTAAAATTCAGTCATACACTACATTTGCAATTTAAACAGTAAAGAAAAAGCAGCATGCACAAACTGATACATTTTAAGAAAAAATATACACAAAAAATTTTCCTTTGATGGCAAACATACAGGAAGAATTCTGGAAGATTACCTACCAAAATGATGCTTTAATATTATCTAAAGCTATCTCCAATAAAAACAATATACTGAACTCCTGTATTTTCATTTGAAAAAGAAAGTTCAAGATTTGTCATAGTAATACAATTTCAGTTTAGAACTCTTATTATTATTTTAGATATTTACAATCTTCACATTGTACACAGCTGTGTACTGAAATTTTTTTCATATCTTTAGAATATAGTATTTGGGGCAAGGGGAAACACAGTTTTTAAAGTTAGAACTTAAGTGATAATTAGGGCTTCCCTGGTAGCTCAGCTGGTAATGAATCTGCCTGCAATGAAGGAGACCCCAGTTCAATCCTTGGATCAGGAAGATCCCCTGGAGAAGGGATAGGCTATCCATTCCAGTATTCTTGGGCTTCCCTGGTAGCTCAGACAATAAAGAATCCACTTGCAATGCAGGAGACCTGTACAATCTTCACATGGTACATAACTGTACACTGAAATTTTGCCATATCTTTAGAATATAGTATTTGGGGCAAGGGGAAATACAGTTTTTAAAGTTAGAACTTAAGTCATTATTAACATTTAAGTCAATGGCTTTATTAAGTTTATATACATTTCTAAAGGAACAAAGTACAAAACAATACTGGCTTATTTCTTTAGCAGCTTACTATTAATAATTCTACCTTTAAAACACTTCACCATTAAACAAAAAAACTTTGATAATTAAAGTTACCAATGATCAGCTTCTTGTGAGGACTATTCCTTCAGAGATTATTCTGTGAATGGTACTGACATTCAGATACAATCAGCTGAATTTTATGAATGACACTACTTTTTTTTTCTTTTTTTTGAATGACACTACTTTTGACTATAAAAAGTTTGAACTTTTTATATTCTTATTTTATTCTTTTTTTTTTTTTTTATAAACAGGGACTCTGACCCTTTCATTTTACTAAGATGGCACGTAAATATTAGAACAGCATACTGATCCCTTCCTACATCCGTGCGCCCCCAGCGTGTTGATCTGGAGCCACTCGTGGGCCACCTCCCAGACGGAGGCAGCAGACTCATGCACTGAGCGATGCATATTCTTTATCGGTTTTCCCAACAGCATCGGGATTTGATAGTGGGTCGAGATCAGCAAAAAGGCTGAACCAGGCAGTCAGGTCGGAGGCGGCCTTGGCAGGCTCTTCCAGCGAGGCCTGTAAGTCTTTCATGTTTTGCTCTAAAGCTGTGAAGGAAGGAATCCTGAGCCTGCCTGGGGCCTGGGGTCCGGCTCTCCTGGGGCCGCAGTGGGCGCTGGCTCCTTCAGCCGACCGTCTCCAAACACAGCGGCCCACTCTTGGCTGAACTCGCTCTATTCTAGGGAGAAAGCGTTGAAGATTTCACTTAACAGCAGCAGGTGGTCCTTGTCAGCACCTTCAGGTTCTGGGGTCCCTGCCCTCGGGCCCCGGAAGCACCTTCGTCGGGTTTCACGTCCAGAAGCTCATCTGAGCACGCGTTGTGTGCAGAGCTTTGGTCTAAGGCAGATACAACACTGTTTCTATCTTCGGTTTTAAAACCCGAGGATTCCTTGTGCTGGTTTTCATCCTCCAGTGAAAGTAACTGACTTGGCCGCCGCGGCCTCTGCACTTTCCTGCTGGGCGATCCTCTTCTTTTCTTCTTTCTCCACCGGTTTTCTCATAGGGTCTTGTAAGCTCTTTAACGTGGTAAATTCATATGGCTGATAACCCCTGAAGCTCTCATGGATGGCTGCCATAGTGTGAGAAGTTTCCTCCCCAAAATGAAGCAGAGTGGTCTGGTATGTTGCTAGCACATGAGACAAAAGATTGCATCTGCTTGCTCCAAGAAGATCCACTTTTTGACACACATCCATCTTCAATTTGTCAAAGCTTTTTTTGGCAAGGCGAACTTGTGTTTGCACCTTCCTGAACGTCTCCATGCGGTTCACGGTCAGCCAAGTGTCAGAGATGGCCCTATGCCGGAAAGTCTCCACTTCTTGGTGAAAGCGGCACAGAGGGTTTCTCAGAGCCAACCTTTGCTGGGAAGAAAAGCAGAGGGCCTTTCCTGTCGCTGGCATTTTTCCCACTCTGGTTTTATCTTGGAAGCCTTGGGACCGGAGAAATTTTCCCAGTTCGTTTTCTTCCTGAGACAAGAAACATGTTCTCTTTTGATAGAGTACAATTGCTTTAGACAAGTCCAGACAGGCTCTCTGAACTGAGTGAAACAGCTCTAGCTTGGCATCCGGGTCTGCGTCCGAGGCAACGACGTGCTTGCTCACCTCCTTTCTTCCCCGCGGCTTTCATAAAGGCCTGCCTCGTTTCCCAATACTTCTGCTGCATCTTATTTACAACCGACTTGTCTTGGGGATATCGATGGTGTAAGTCCCAGGGATAACTGCATTTGTGTCCTGACATGGTTCCTCCTCCTTTTCTACTCGGCGCCCCGGCCCCGGAGCCTCCCGGGCCGCGTGAGCTCCCGCATCCGACGTCAGCGTCAGTAGAAGGCGAGGGAAGGGGGCGGAGGGAGCACAGGAACCGCTCCTTCTCGCCGCGGTCGCCGCCCGCTGGAAGAGCAGCCGGCGGCGCTGCAGCGGTCGGGGAGAGGGCGCCCTGCCTCCCCGCGAGCTCCTGGGGCCGCGACCCCGCCGTCGCCTCCCCTCCCTGTTTCTCCCCCTCCCAGGAAGCCCAGCGGGCGACCCCTCTCAGCAGGACCCCGGGACCCAGAGGAGGGAGGGGTCGATGGCCTCACCTCATGTGGGGCGGGTCCGGGATGGGGGCAGTGAGTCTCCTTCTCTCTACTCCCTCGGGTCCTTCCTCGACCCCCATCTCCCGGGGTGACCCCCGCTCGGATCTACCGCCCCTTATTTTATTCTTAAAATAAGCTTTTAAGAATTGCTTATTATTAACTGACATACTGCTGAAGCCTTGAGCCACAGAAACAATAACGATGGAAAAAGGGAAGCGTTGCCAGAGCTGGCTGGTTCCACAATGGTTATGACAGAAAAATGTCGTCAGCATTCTTTCCAAATGAAAAGGTCATCAGTGGGGAAGAAAGGCCTTTCAAGGCTATCTTCAATGGAATTTGGAATTTCCCTCACCCATTCCAGGTATCTGTTCAACTGCCTCCTACAGCAAGCTTGTGAAAGCACCTCTCATGGCAAAAAAAAAAATAAGTTCCTGTAGAAAGGGTACAATGGAGAGAGGACTAGGCCAGTGCTAGAAAAATCTGGATCTGTCACTGAGATCCTGGGTGGAACTCAGCAGTTTCCTCTTCTGCAATGCAAGAAGGTGGCACTGACACGCCTTCCAGCTCTAACTGTGTTTTCATCCAAGGCCACCAATGAAAGACACATGCCTTTTTACCTCGTAACATGAAGGTACTTTTTAAACTGTTGTATCACTTTTAACTTCAGTTTAACTTGGCAATACTTTACATGAGAGACCCAACATACCTCAGCATGTTACAAACATTCAAAAAACACAAGCTTGGTGATAATTCAAAAGAAGTCATATCCAAGTAACTGATGAAGAAACTAAAAAAATGTATCACTTGAGAAGACTCTTTACATCTTTAAAACAAAAGATAGGTTTAATTTTATTTCAAGAAAATATTCAGCATTTAAAGTGGAGTCACAGTGACTGACTAGTCAGTAGTGCTGGCATTTATCTTCCTTTCACATTGAAACTTGGAAAACAAGGGTATGAGTTAAATTGAACCTCTTTAATATAAAAGCCTTTGATTTAGTTACATAACTATTTTTATAACAAAGCACTTTTAATATAATTTAAAACACACATGCTTTGATTAAAGAGTGACTGTAAATGGATCCAGCTTTCTTCCAACTGTGATGACAACTTTGTCATTTCTTCCAAAAGTACTGGCTCTGAAGGAAGCATTTTCAGGTGCAACTGAAAAGAAAAATGATAGCTGAACATTTAAGAAATCTAAAATTTTTGTTTATTCTGGATTTAACTGTTTTACAAGGAACCTTAGAAGACACTATTCTTTATTTTTTTCCTTAAAGGCTGGTTTATTGCAATCTCACATCTCCCTCTTCTCTATTATGAGTCTTCATGGTTCTGTACTCTCTCAGTAAAACTGAAGTAATGACTCTCCTCTATGTAAGGAGAGTCCTGATACACATCAAGAAGCAAAGTCCTAGTTCTAAATTTACAACTGTGGGAAATTTGGGAAAAAATACAGGCACAATTTGCAGCATTTCTAATTTTTTATCCTACATACTACCATCTATAAATCTACTTTTTAAATAATTTCAAATAATTAAGTCAAGTGAAAACTTTTTTAGATATTTATGAGATAAATAATCTATCTGCTATTACTGAAAATCTACCTCCTGTTATAGCAGTGAGATAAACATGAGTTCTCCATTATATCTGTCATAAAAGCAACTCTGTTATTGTCAAATCGTTTGAAACTCCTTCAACCAGGACAGAAGTAAACCTTAATTTTTTCATGACCATTAAAAAAAAACCCTGCCAAAATGTAACAAAATAAAAATGTTAATAGGTTAATATACTGATCAAATGGATGACACAGAAGTCAGGGGGTTGAGTCAAAATTGTGCTGAGCTAAAAAAACAGAAGTCAACAAAGAACATTTAGAAGCTGCTGCCCCGTCCAGCTATCTAGTACGGTAGTCACTAGGCACAGAAACCTGTTGAAATTAATTTCTATAAAATGAAAAACTCAGGTTCTCAGTCACATCAGCCACAATTCAAGTGTTCAGTAGCCACACGCAGTGAAGTGTGGATATAGAATGTTTCCATCTCTGCAGACATTTCTATCAGACAACACTACTCTGGAGGAGGGCAAGCTGTGAAGTGCTATCTCACATCTTAGACTTACTTTCAGAAACAGGGCGAGGTATGCCTGGGCCAGCTCAAAATCACGCTTTCTGTCCAACATCATCCCAATCATCTTCAAGAAGCTTTTCATAATGTCTATTGAACCACCACAATCAGGAGACAAACTTCGAAGCTCTGTCTCAATTCCTGATGGGCCTAATTCTTTCAGAAGGTTAACAGCAGCTTCATCTACATTGTTTTAATAAGAATCCAGTTATTACCGACAATCATTTCATTTAAGAAACTAGTTTTCATTTCAAACACAACATATATTTAAATTTGCATTTTTAGCAATTTCTTTCTATTAAGGCTGTTAAAATCTAATTAACACTTAGCACCAGACATTTTAACATGCTTATACATGAGTCAGAACAAATCCAATATAAGAAGGCTACCAAGTTATTGATATACACCAAGTTATTAATAATATTTGCTAGTGAGATAAGATGAGGTGAGGGAATTTATTTTTGTATTGTTTATAAAAATTATAAAAGTATCACTTGTTAATTAACAAACATTAATACTACAGAAATATACGTGGGGAAAGACTCCATCTTATTAACCACAAATCTACTTTTCCCTAGAAGTAAGCACTCTTGTTTCATATACATCCCTTGAAAACATATTCTATACTTATATAAGGCATTTGATATTACAATGGCAATGCCTATGCTTTTAGCTTTTTGCAAAAGAACAATACCATTGACAAGAGTCTAATACATTTTGTTTTTCAGTGGATATTAAATAATAGTGCCTCTCTTCTTTGTTCCCTCATAAATAGAACAAGTTACTCCTTTTATAATCCTGCTACTCTTTAGCTATCAGTACAAGCACCATTCTTTGACTTTACTCGAGTGATACTCGCATGAAAACACAAAGCAACTGGGTCAGAAGACAAGAGGGTAAGTCAAACAGGAGAATGACTGTAATTCTGTTAATTGCTTACAGCTCTCTTTATCATTATTAGCTACAGATTCTAGCTTTCAAATTTAAAACACTCAATTTTTAAAAAAAGCCTTTTTGTGTGATAATTTGGTAATGTCTGAAATTACCGAAAACAAAAGTCTATTGCAAAGTACACTGCAAATTGCACTTGTAAATAAAAAGAAGAGCAAAAAAGAAAAAAATTCCAATTTTCCATACAGAAAGAGAGGTTCTCAAAAGATTATTATCATCTTAACATCTGAGTGTAGTGTCACTCATCTACTGTAAACAGAGTAAAAATTACTTCAGATTAAAACCAAGATTTCAATCCTTTGGCTTTTACTTTCAACTACTGAGAAATCTGCTAATATTTCACTCAATTCTCTTCATATAAAGTAACATAATAAGCTGAAATACTTGGTAAAATATTTTATAATTTAACTTACATTTATTATTTACCAGTCCTTCCTCAAGCTTCAAGTAGAAATCCGATTTTTGAGCCAAAATCCCAAGATTTACCACTTTAGACTTAAAGAAAAACAAATACACATTATTCAAAAACCACAAATATAACAAAAAATGTAAAGTTTATAATTAAAAGCTAGCATTAATTACTCTATCTGTAAAACTGGGTCTTGGTTAAAACTACAAACGCACAACATACAACACACGCCCCGTGTCCCTAGAACACCCCCTCTAGCCTGGCTCTCACCTGCTGAGGGTCACTGTTTTGCTCAGGAGCAGCGTATCTGGTCACGAGGCCAGGAACAGTTGGAATGAAAAACGGTGCTGATCTGGGCACTGTGGGTGGCTCCTTCGGTTTGTTCTTTTTCTAAGAAAAATGAGAAAAGCAAAAAGACTAGTAATTATCTTGCCAACAGTTTCTAACATTTAATTCCCACTTAATCTTTAAAAAGCCCCAAAGGTAAAAAAATAAAATAAAAAGAATGAAATTTAGATTAGGATACTGAAATGAAATCCCAAACAACCAATATACCACAGATATCCTTAAACTGGGCTTCCCAATGCAAACCTCTAGTACTCTTGCTGTTAAGGCAAAAGGAAAATGACAGGGTTCAGAAGAAGCTCTGAGGCAAAAACAGCTAATTTTCCTGAAACGTGAATATTTAGGTGAAGAAGTACAAGCAATTTTGAACTTCTTTTATACTGAAATACAAGATGGGCTAGAAAGCAAAATTTACATAAATGCTCAACAGTTTTCCAAATGTCTCTTCTCCAAAAGAAATCTAGAGCCAGAGGGAGTCTCTGCCATTAAAAGTAAATTAGTA